GTTCGGTGGGGTAGCTACCTGTTGAAAGGTAATTTCGCGTCGCGTTCACATCGCGTGTTGTAGTTGTCATCGACGGTGGAAAATTCGACGGGCAATCGAGCCGCGTTCAATTTGCGATCCGACGCGCACGTCCAGTCCTCGACATGGATTCAATATCCGTAATAATATCCGGACGTGTCTCGGTATCAGTCCTGATATATGTTTCCCCTTTGATGAAAACAGCCCGAAGAAAAAGAGCGGCAACTCTTTCCAGACGCGTTTCTTGCCGATGCGGCTGCAATTATTGGAAATTGAACGGTCGCCGGCTGCCTGGCTTTTCAGCCGCAAAGGAAATGGCAGTCGGACGTTTTTTGGGAATTGATTAAACTTTGAAATCGATTATTTTTTCTGGACTGCACTTAAAGATATTAAGAGAGAATTTTTTCCTTGCTCATCTGAATTGTTAAATATTTTTCACTACATAAGAGTTGGGAAATTTGTTCAACTTCGGTGCAAACATTCTTAGGTACATCTCCATAGAGCCCTCATTTGATATATTGCCAAGTTCGCAGCTGTTTACAAAATAATTTTTCTCCAGCGATCGAAGGTAACCGCATTCCCTCGCGATCGATTGATGGTCCCTCTCGAGTCTCATAGCAGTCCAATCAAGACCCCGCGCAGTTGAAAAGCACGATTTATTAATCATCCCTCGGTACGTTGTCATCTCGAACACGCACGGCCGACTTCTGACAATAGCAGCCCGGTAGGCCGTGTGTCATCCGCAGAAGCAGCTTGTTCTGTACGTCGTTGCGAATCGACTAATCGATTATTAAACTCAGACACCAGCTCTCGACGACACAGCACCAGTCTGATCTTAATATTTGGACGTCGTGCGCAATCATTGCCGTTCAACGACGGATCCAATTACCGCTCGTTCAAAAATCAACTCCTACGGATCATTGTTCAATGCGAATTAACTGCTGATATGGCATTTTGCATCAGTTTCATAGTCAGGTCAATTGTCAGAACCGTGGCCTGGTTGAGATAAGAAACTCAGAGTCACATAATGCAGTTTACAGAATCTGTTTCGATATATTGCACGAGACACATTGACAATTTAGGAAACCAAGCCTTCTGGGATCAGACATTTTAAATCCGATCCTGGAAGCCCGATTTTCTGGTACGAGGTGCTCGATACTGGGAACGATAGGTTAGTTTTAAATATAAATAAAATGGGACAACAGGGTCATGACCCTACAATGAGCAAACATTCCCATACCTCGCCATGCAAAAGATTTGCAAACCCGTTCCAACGGATCCGTTCACAATTCTCTGTACAGAGCAAGAAATCAAAGTAGTTTTGTGTAACATGCAAATTCGAATTGAATTGTAACGGCAATGTGGGGAACAGGGGTAAAAAGATTCAAAAGTTCGACGGAAGGGAATGAAAATCGTATGAGCGGTCGGGCAGCCAGTAGAATATCGATCCGTGGCGTGGTACGCCCCCTGTCCCTTACCCTGGCATGTTATGGGATTCTGGGTAGGGAGGGGCCTAACCTTCGACACTAACCCTGACCCACCCCACTGTGGTCGTCCGCCAATTTCTGCCTTCCTTTTGCGACGCTCTTTCGTGTTCCTCTCTCTGCCATTCCCTTTCATGGGGAAAGTTAGGTTATGGAGGATATTATGAGGGGAATGCCGAGCGGCGTGGGTGGGATGGGTTATGGCGCATTTAGGTGCACACACCCTTTTCGATATTTCAGATTATTCGGTATCTGATGAAAGTTGATTATTTTTGTTGAACATTAACATTTTGTTGAAACTTGTCTTTACTGAATCCTTGTAAACCTGTATACAATGAACCTAACCTGTACGTACCTTCATAGAATGAACTAAACTTATGAAGATCTGTATACAATGAGCCTAACCTGTGTATCTCTGTGTATAAGTTAAACTAACCTCTATGAACTTGTATACAATGAACCTAACCTATGAAAACTTGTATAAAATTAACCTAACCTATATGTACCTGTGTATAATAAATCTAACCTATATAAACCTGCATAGAATGAACTTAACCTTCATGAAGCTACGTAGAATGAACCTAATCTATATGAACCTGCATAGAATAAACCTAACCTCTGTAAACTTGTATAGAATGAACCTAACCTCCATGAAGCTACATAGAATGAACCTAACCTCTGTAAACTTGCATAGAATGAACCTAACCTCTGTAAACTTGCATAAAATGAACCTAACCTCTGTAAACTTGCATAAAATGAACCTAACCTCTGTAAACTTGCATAAAATGAACCTAACCTCTGTAAACTTGCATAAAATGAACCTAACCTCTGTAAACTTGCATAAAATGAACCTAACCTCTGTAAACTTGCATAAAATGAACCTAACCTCTGTAAACTTGCATAAAATGAACCTAACCTCTGTAAACTTGCATAAAATGAACCTAACCTCTGTAAACTTGCATAGAATGAACCTAACCTCTGTAAGCTTGCATAGAATGAACCTAACCTCTGTAAACTTGTATAGAATGAACCTAACCTCTGTAAATTTGCATAGAATGAACCTAACCTCTGTAAACTTGCATAGAATGAACCTAACCTCTGTAAATTTGCATAAAATGAACCTAACCTCTGTAAATTTGCATAGAATGAACCTAACCTCAGTAAACTTGCATAAAATGAACTTAACCTCTGTAAACTTGCATAGAATAAACCTAACCTCCATGAGCCTGCATAGAATGAACCTAACCTATGTGGCTCTATAAACAATAAACTGAGCCTATATCCTACATATAAAGAACCTAACCTAAGTGGACCTGCATACAGTGAACCTAACCTACCTGTACATAAACCTGATGTACATAAACCTACGTAAATCTGAAATCAATTAACCTAAGTGAACACGTACCTAATGAATCAATTTCTAACCAAGCACCAGAAATTATAATCGTTAAAAACTGATCTATTGAAAATGTTGAACGATACGAAGGACATCAGTCTTCCGCAAATTACCCGAAGAAATTGTTTCCCCTTGAAAAATGCCCTATCGTTGTAAAGCGTATTATCCGCGAGAAAAGAGGAAAAAACTTCCGTGGTTATTAAAGCGCCTACTGCACGCAATAAATAAAAAAAAGGGTCGGGATCTTGAGTCATTAGAGGTAGCTAAGGGAGAGCATCATCAGCAGGTCTGGCATCGAGTCATTAAAGTATCCTCCGATCGATATTGCTAGCGTGAACTGGTTTTGATGACGGTATAACAGCGGCCAAGGTGTTACGTGTATCACGCAACACCTCTTACGCTCTCGCATTCTGTGCTTAGAGCAGAAAGGTGGAAGATAAGTCCCCTTTCGCACCTGACGAAGGTGAAAGGATGAAGAGAATCGAGTGGCTACTGCCAGTTGGTAATAAAGATGGTGAATAAAGTATTATACAGTGAAATTAGTGCCTTATGCGGGAGATAAAGATTGTAAGACTCGGGAATTATCCTGAGTGTAATTAAACATGTGCAAGTTTATCGAAGTGATCAAAATTTAACGCTTGTAAACATAACAGTGGTCTTATCTCTGTTTAACTTCATTAAATCGATTCGTAAAATTTTAAGACGCGAATAAAAGTTACAAGTTTTGAACAAAGCTGTAAAGCGTAGCGTCACACGCTCCATTCATTCGATCTAACGTCCGCAACGTTGGACACCATTGTAAAACTGAAATTACGTCACCGGAACCCGCTCAAAGCCGCCCAATCGAAAGCAGGTAGTGTGTCGGGGGCCCGTTAGCGGGCCAGAAAGTCCCGAAGGAGGGAGAGGACGCCGAGTAAACAAAAGAGGTGACGGCCCAACGGAGCTACAGAGGAGGGGGCAAAGGCATAGCTAGGTCTAAAACAACCGACAAAACCTACATTCTTACATCAAAACATTTAAACAAAAATTAAATTAAGGGACTATAAAAATTACGGACTTCTATAAAGATGATGCTACTTTGTCTTTTAAAATTTTTTTGAGTTCTCAATTTTTCACGATCTGTATGTTTGTGAAATTATATTTGTCAGAGTTCAAAAATTTAAATATTGAAAATATATTATTTTTAATTAACCCCTTCCCGTGCCATTTATTTATGAGATGCGTCAGTCAAGACTAAACATTCAGGACTATAACATTAAAACGGACAAAGAAAATTAAAATGTTCTAAGTATTTTATATTTAGGGATCCTTGGCAACGCAAATTATAGTTGGATCTAACCTTCAAGTTGAAGAGTATTCAAAATTTGAGTAAGGCTTATCACATTTGAGTTGTGAGTGCGTCACGAGTGAGACTCGTCAAAGCACGGGAAGGGGTTAATGTGTTATTTTAATACATCGAACTGCTATAAGACCCAGTCGTTACGTAGAAAGTCGCGATACCTAGCGGGCTCAAACGTCGTCGCGTCACCACGTGACCGTTTCAAGGCCCATGGTGCCCCATGGAGGGAGAAGTTTCGGCAACTGCGTCACGCCATGCGACTCCTTCCCCCGAATCGCGCGTTTCGCGAGTGTTCTTGCCCTTCTCCGCTACTCCTTGAGTCCGGGGATTCCCTTTGCATTTTAATCCCGCTGGGAAGACGGTATGTTGCGCGTTGGGAATAACCTTCGTCCATTTTATCCTTCCCTGTCATGGCGAGCTTAAAACCAATTCTGATTTGAGCCATTTAAAACGATTCTGATTTGAGAAGCTTGCAAATGAGTCGTGAAAATTGAGACCGTCACTCGATAGCGCATCCTACTAACGTCCTATCAATTTACAGTTGCATTGTTTCTCACTTGAAACGCAGTTTCTGTCGTAATCCCCCATTTCCCAATCGCTCGATTTGCACGTGGCTTCAATAGGTTGAGCAAACGACACCGTGTCTTCATTGTGTTCTTAAACTGGGAACTAAATTTTGTACTCAAACAAAAAATTACATTTTCAACGTACCATATCCTGAAAGCTCGACACAAACCTAATCAACCCGTCATCTCTGTTACAGATACCTCAAAGCAACGGGACGATTCGAATCAGTATGCATCTGGGAGCGAGTTTCGAGGCGCGCGTCAAGATGCGGTAAAAGAAACTCGACGACAGAAGAAATCGAGTCGTGCCCGTGCGTGATACAGAACACAAATACGCGTATCAGTTAAAGCAGCCATAAGATTAAGAATCACGATATCCTAGAAAACTAACCGGTAGAGTGAGCCATCTAGAAAGCACAGAGGCTACGTTCCGAGTGGTAGCCTCTGACAAACAGAAACCACTGCCTGCCCTAACTGTCCAAGTCAGAAACCGTGTCCGGGACACGAACCGTCATCGTATACAGAAGTGACCCAACAAACGGCCAACAAGTGATCCCACGAGATCTCCAGGGGTACGTGGACAGTGGTGAGCAGAGGAGCCGTCACGGTGGCCAGCTTAGTGAGCGGCAACGTAGCGGTGCGTTACGATGAGGCGTCGGGAGTGGTTGGCACGGGGGGTGTCGTGTTGGCAGCCACTTCCAGGTTAGCCGCAGCGGATCCAGCCACGTCCAGCATGGACACCAGCGACTCCAGCATGGACACGACGAACGGGGGCTCGAGCACCGG